GTGTACAGAAAATTCTGGATGAATAGAAGGCACCAGATATCCAGATGTATTACTGTATCAGAATTGCAGCTCTGCAAGTATCAAAAAGTAAAATTTAGCAGGCTGCAACTTTTATTACATTATCCTAAATTCCATATAACCTACTTTAGAACTTAATTTTTAGTTCTTTAATTCCATATAACCTACTTTAGAACTTAATTTTATACTATTTATACAGGCTTTTCTAATGTCTCTCTTAAATCTAAGAAGATAATATACCGATAGATTTCTTAAAGCAGGGACCCCCAGAAATGTGATGGATGGCCAGCTGCCAAGTCCCTTTGCTTACATAATGAGAGAAGAGAGGGCTGGGCAGGACATGGAATAGAGTCCTTGGAATGTAGCTACTTTAGTCTTTCTGTTCTCACATTTCCATCATGTTCTGTTAGCTTTTAAAGATTCTCCTTGTAGTAAGGTTGTTTTCTAGTTTCATTCTTTATAATTTTGTTTGGATTTTTGGATTTTCACAGACTAGTAGGCTGGTTTTAACTTTTTTTTTTTTTTTGGAGTCAGAGTCTCACTCTGTCGCCCAGGCTGCAGTGCAGTGGCACGCTCACGGCCACCGCAGTCTTGACCTGCTGGGATCGGACGATCCTTCCACCTCAGCCTTCCAAGTAGCTGCAACCACAGGCACGTGCCACCATGCCTGGCTAATTTTTTTTATTTATTGTAGAGATAAGGGCTCACCAAGTTGTCCAGGCTGGTCTGGAATCTGTGGGCTCAGGCAGTCCTCACCTGGACTCCCAAAGTGCGGGGATTATAGACTTGAGCCACTGCACTGGCCGATTTTTAACATTTTAAAGGTATTATTAATCTTTGATTATATCCAGCAAGAATGAATTTATTCTGGAAAGTTCTTCTACAATGGACATTGTATTTTTAAAATTTGGGACTTGTTATGGGGATTGTGGTAAAGATGATACTAGTACCTGTTTGTAATGATAAACCTGTGGGACCATATAAGCCAAAGGATTAAGAGAGAGAGCATTTCTGAACTGTATAGCACTCTTATGTTTGCATTTTCTAGAAAAAAGAAAAGCTGCTACTACTACCCATATGACTTATAAATTCTATTAGAAAGATGACTTGATGTCACATTTGGAAGGCAGACTGTCATAGTTGGCTTTTCCATTGCCATCTTTGGCATAGTATGCTTCCTTTCCTTTCCTTATGTAATAAATATATGCCTGAAAATTTTAACATATAAGTCCCATAAAATGTTTTCAAAGCATCTGTAATCATATTATGTTACATAGTCTTGAGTTCTTATATTTTGAGCTGCTTAAATATACAGTGCGCTAAACAGGGTGGGTTTTCCTTTTTTTTTAACAAGGAAACATACAGTAAAGGTTAAGTTTTGTTTTAGAGGTTTATTTAAAAGGGGTTTATATAAGTGGATTTTCAGCGAATTTTAAAGGAAAACAAAGGTAGGTGGGAGAAGTTGTAGAATTGGTGAGACAGTTTGAGGAGGGTGTAAAATTAATCAAGTTGGTTCCTCAGCATTATGGTGCTTTTACCTTGACTTTGCATGAAGACACAGGTCTTCATGGGCACTTCTTAAGATCTCTTCCAAGAAATTGGCCATGATCTTTATACAATTCCCACATAATTATGTGGATTTGGCAGCATATGTTGGAAGAAGTAGAGGGAGGAACATTTCTCTCTGCATTTAGAGATTCAGAGTGTCAAGGAAACAAGAAACTTTAAGCTTTCAGTTCTGCATCTCTCTAGCTCTAGCTTTCCTTTCACTGAAGGGTTATGATATATTTTAGAAGGGCAGGGGCGGCTTGTCCTGTCACAAGCCAACTGTGTTGTGTGGCCCCTAAAAGTGTACCCACTGGGAGGGATTTTGTTGTCACATTGGAGAATGTGGGAGGGTTTTCCCTGACCCCATTTATAGGCATGGGGGTGCCTCCCATTGCTTTGTGTGCTGTTGCATTTCCTCCTCCCTTTTTGTTTTCCCTAAGCTAAGCTCTAAGCAAATTCTGTACAAAAGAAATACTGACTGTTTTTGTAAATTGCTTGCCATTAATGCCTGATAATATGCAGCAAAATAGGATTCTGCATACCATTAAATATGTCAAATATTACAAACTTTAAATTTCTTTTGAAATTACAGTACTAAACTCAGTTCACTTTTGCTTAGCCTTCACAGTTGTTGATCACATAGCATGGTCATCCACTCACAGCTTAAAAAAATACAGGGAGCATCGGAGAGAATGGGTAAAGTAAAATTTTGATGTTTTTAAAATAGCACCTAAATCTATGAAAGTTTATTTGGTTTCTTGTTTATATGGGAGGGAGAGGGTGGGTAGCACTGGGGAGGAGGGGGTGGATATTGGGAAAATAGCATGTACCATATAAAATGATGTCAGATACAAACCTAGGCTAAGGTTTTAAGTTATTACTGCTGATATTTAAGTGTAAATGTTTCAGAAAAGGCAAGACCACTTAATGGCAATGCTGAGAATTACAGTGGGCTTACTTTTCCTTCCCAACAAATTGAAGAGGATTTTGAGAATAGCAGTATTTGAGTACAATTTGGACAGGTGCCTTCTTTTTAAAGGGACCTGTCCATATTCCAGGTGAAACTGACTGCTTTAGTCTTACCTCAGGCTCTGTTACACTGGTGAAAGACTTAGAGAAGAATAATATGCATCCGAGTTATGATGTACCTGTGACTCAGATATCCCTAAATAAAAGTTACAACTCATGAAACTCGTGAAGGGATAGAACAAAAGAAGGAGATGAGAGTTGTTACTTTGCAGCTAGTTGCTTGGTAGCAAATATTAATGGAAATGTGATGCTTCTACTAATATGAAAAACACTTCACCTGCCACAGTTCTAAATCAAGTTTCTAATTCTAAGAATTTGGCTGTGTAGTTATGTGCACAGCCTAATTAACTCTTGTGGAGGTTATAGGGCAGAGAAACCTCTTATGTTTTTATAGGTAAGACATTTTTGTTGTTGTTGACTGAAATAACTTGATCTGATCTCTGCTTCATTAATTTTTTTTACTTTGTCTCTACAGTAAAGATTGAGTTAAAAAATTAAATCAAATTTTACCCCCCAAAATGATATTCTGGCCCCAACTTTGCTATATCTCTACATGCAGCCATTTGCTAGAGCCAAATGTGGTTTACTTAGTGTTCCTGCAAACCTTCCTGCCTCTATAAACTTTGTCGAATATTTTACTCCAGTTTGGAATGCTCTGTATTCTACTTTTCTTTGGTCTAAATCCTATCTTTCCTTCAAATTTTGGCTTCCACTTATTGCATGAAGCCTTTCCCAACCTCTCCAGTCTTGGTGGTCATTCTAGTCTTAGAATTTGTGCAATACTGCCTAATTGACATACCTATTTGGCACATGGATCATGTTATCTTGTATTATTACTTATTCATTTATATGTCCTACTTCATTTATAACATCCTGTTTCTCTAGCAAAGTCACAAGCTATTTGTCTAGCAAAATCATGTGCTTCTTGAGAGTAAAGAGCTTGTCTTATATACCTTTGTAATTCCATTGCCTAGCACAGAGAATATGGTTGGGCACCAGTAGGTTTGAATCTGTGATCTGGATCCACTGTCAGTGTAACAGGGCATTCCCCTCCCCGCCCCCATGCCCACAAAACTCAAATATAGAGTACATCAAATTCATAAAATAATTTATTGTATTATAGGGAGATTGGTTCAGATTTTTCCCTGTTTTACAGTCTTTTTTTTTTGGCGCTGTTTTTCCTTATTTCTTTTGAAAAACATGGTTTGGGCCAGATATCTTGACAGAAACCAAAATTACCAGTATTTTTTTTTTTTTAATTCTTTGTACTTTCATGGCATAAGCCCACGTACATTTTAAAAATACTGCCTGGCTATGTAGCCAAACTGTTTTAAAATGTCAACCTTAAATTCCCTTAAATAGAACTTTCAAAATATCAATAAACAGATACTCAGTTACTATTCTCTCTCAGAGTATTTCTGTATCTCAAATTATTAGAGGTTTTATTATTTCACTGTTTTAAAGATTTTTATAATGGCTGTTATTTGATAGCTATATTTGTTGTATTTGCTACAGTTATCAAATATTTATGGAACACTCGTTCATTTGCACTGAAGAGTTATTTTTAAATGCTTTTTGGCATTTATAGAAACTGATTCTGTTTTTAAAAGTTTACCAGGGAAAACATGTACAACTATTATATATCTATTAGATAAAATAAAAAGCTCACCAGGGGTACTTGCTGGTATGCCATGTTCATATTTAGAATTGTTCATATTTTACCTGATAACTGTGCCTTCAGGGCACATATACCTTAATATTAAATTTAATGCGATTTCTCAAGCAGAAAAAGTTATTCTTCTTGATAAAATATTTGATTAGTAAAATCTCCATGAATCTTGATTTTGTTCTAAGGCCTGAGCCATTCATTTAACAAAGCACTGAAATGATACTTTTAGCAGAGAGACTACTAGGTACATAAGACTTTTCTTTTTTTCCCCCCTACCTTTTAAAATGTCATCATTTAAAAATTCTTTAACATAATTAGGGTACTGATTTTAAATGAAAATTTTTTCTCATATGCTAGGAAGCAAAAAACCTTAAATGTAGCATTGTCATTCTGGTGTGAGGTTATCATGGTACCATTCTAACATGAGCTTGAGGCCCTCACCAAAGTCTTGAGGAAACATTTTTAAAGAAACATTTTTTAAAAGAACCCCAGTTGGCCTAAGGACCACTTTCCACAGCTCTAGCCTTGGACTTTACCTATAGCCAGTCATATTCTTTTCTGGGGTTACACTTAAGTCAGTATTTTAAAAAATAAAACACCCTGATTTTGTTCACTTTTGTTTTTATATACAAGATTCTTTACAGTCAACATGTACTTCTAGATGCTGTATTGAAATTGCTGGCAGAGTCTATTCTATACAGACTGAACAATCTGGCCCCTTGTTTTATTTGTAAAGGTTCAATGTATCTATGCCTGCCTACTTCAATCTGCAAGGGAGTGTCAGAAAGGCCCCGCAATCGCCGAGCCGTGAGTTATCACTAACTTTTCAGATGTGTTAATGAATGTGGAACAAAAGCAGTTGTGTTTAAAAGGAAAACAGGACCATCAAAATAACCTTTATTGTAGTAGCAGGCGTAAACACTAAATGGATTATCCCAAATTGTGTCAAAAATAACCTACTAGAGACTAGCCACTAGAAAACCTATTGTTGAACTGCTCTGAAGCTGTTGTTTTAGGTGTAAATTACTGTTGTTAAAAATTTATATATCCTGGTTGCAAATTAGAATGTTCTTTAAATCCTTTTAACCAAGTTAAAATAATTTGAACAAAATCTTACCCCATCTAAAGGTAACAGTATTTAGTTGAATTTAAGTTAAGCTTTTCAATGTAAGATGATATGATGGGGTAAAGTTTTAACCATTTTTCTATTCACATGTGAAAATACAAAAATTAATGTAAATGATTGAATCACTTCCTAGATGAAAGTTTTTGGAGTGCTCCAGGCATCATATGAAGTAAGAGGTATTTATAATCTCTTTTGGTAACAATTCTCGCTTCAGTAATTCATCAATAAGTTTTCATTCATCAGTGATGACATCAGTTTAAGGCTAAAATAAAACACCTACATTTCTTCGGGCTTATCATTTTATATATAGAAAGAGGAAACATCCTTACGAATTTTTTTGTTTTTTCCAAAGAGATTCTAAACAAAAAATTATAACTAACATCTATATTTTGTTATTAGAGCTAGTTACCTTTCTTTTTCTTAGAGTCTTTAAAGTTTTGAATAGATAGCTATATTTGATAAGCAGGTTGGATGCTTCTGTTGCTTAGGAGGTATATTGTGTCACATGAAGACAGAATGAATTTAAATGTAACCAGTTTGGCAATATACAGCACAGACTGCATAAAACTTGGAGGTATGGAACCTTTGGAGGCATTAAAGTTAACATTTCATTTAGGCAATGTGCCTTTGTTTGACTGGTGTGTAAGTCCTTCTTCCAGGTTTGTACGCTCTTAAGTGCGTTATTCTACCCTCTCTAACTCCTCCCAGCAGCAAAAGGGAGACACTTCAGCTGGAACAAAATAGTGGAAGAAATGGCGTCTGGGGTTCAGTGGGGATTCGCAGTGTGTATGCAATGTTTGCAAGATTACTTTTCATGTTTTTCAATTATTGTAAATAACTACAAAACATACCAATGCTTAATGTCAAGAAGGGAACATTGTATACCAGTAGAAACTCTCCTAGTGGGTCTGCTGCAAGTCGCTTAACCTCTTGGGGCCTCAGTTTTCACATCTGCAATACATAGGAGTTGGACTCGATAATCTTTAAAGTCCATTCCTGCTCTAAAATCCTATGCTTTTCTGAAGTACTCTGTTTAACAGAATGCATTGCTTTCCCATTTTGACTATTTGAATTACATGTGCAGTACACTTACTGCAACTGCATGTTGTTTAAAGTAGTTTTTCTGTAGGATGTTATATAAAAAACTAATCCCTCTTGAGCTGATTTATAAATGTGTGTGTATATAGCCACACATCAAAACCTAGTGATAGTAGGACTCTCAGAAAACAAGTGCTTTCTAGTTGTCTAACCTTGAGTGTTATTAACTCTTCTATATTGCAGGAGATACTACTCGTCAACGAATCAAATTCAGTGATGACAGAGTATGCAAGAGTCACCTTCTCAACTGTTGCCCCCATGATGTCCTTTCTGGAACTGTATGTATTAAGTCTGTTGTTTGATTACTGGTATGCTACAATAATGAATTACTTGATGAAGTCTTAATTCTTTATCAAATCATTAATGATTGTTTTTAATACTATTTCTTCGAGTGGTGTCCTTAAGAACTTGAACACCGTCCATAGTGTGATTTTCTCATTGCTCTTGTTATTACTAAAAAGGGCTGTTTATAACAGTTCATCCTATGTACAAATGGCTTATACTTACAGAGCTACGAATTTTTCAGAGGTCAATCCCTGTAGAACAAATACTTTTCTGGGACAGAGTCTAATAATTCACACGTATTTACGTTGAAAATGCCTATTTTCTGCTGTTAAATTCATAGTGTTTAAAACTGAGAGGTGGGATTTGCATCCCTTATTGTGTATTTATTCAGGTTGATGATTTAAATCTGTAAAAATGGGTTTCCTCATAAAAGTAGTTGATATATTTTGTTGTATAATTTTTCCCATTCTTCAGAGCAATTTTTTAAGAGCATTTTTAAATTTGAGATACAGAGGTAGCTGTGATATTATATAGCATTTGTACTTTTACTTTAGAAATTATAGAATTGATTTTTAAAAGTAGTTTCCCTTACTGTTAAACAAAGTAGACTTTAGCCAGAATAGTGTATATTTTTAAGATTTGTACACGTTTATATTGTAGAATCAGTGGGGAAAATATATTATTACTTAAATCCACACAGCTTATTTTGAGAGTAGTGTTGTCACTTAAAATACAGCATCTGTATTGCTGACTCCTAATGTGAGGCTCACAACATTTAGATTTTGTGTCTACAGAGATGTTGGTTGATCTTAGATAATCATCATTTTAATTTGGAAGATAAACCACATGATGGACTTGTTGAATGGAACAAAGGATTTGATTTCCTGACATTTGATTGAAATGATTACAAGTAGCTTCCCTTCATAGCTGCATCTTGTGGTGGTAGGGAGCTACTGGGGGCTCAACCTTGAGCTGGCTTTATTTCTCATTTGCTAGAAATGACTGAAATGAAGAAAAGATTTCTGACTTGCCTTTTCAGAAACAGTGAATTCTTTAAAGATGTCTAAATAAATGGTTTCTTCTTTGATAGGAAGAGTTAAATTAAGGGCATACCCCAAAGAGATATGCATCGAGGAATATACAGTGGGAAGCATCTCTTTTTCCAACAGGGAAGATAGTTGAAACTATATTATGTTAAAAGGGGAAAAAAGCCTAATTTTTTATTATTTTAAAGATGTGGGGTATAATTCAGGGTTAGGTATACAAATGTTTATTATGCAGGTACCCTTATTGATGAGGTGTGCCCTTCGCTCCCCTGGTAGTTCCCCTCTACTGCCAATCTCTTTCTTATAGTATTATGATAATTGTTTAAGGTCCTCTTATGAGTGAGAACATACAGTATTCTGTTCTTTGTTTTTGTGATAGATCACTGAGTATGAGAGACTCTAAATCCATCCAAGTTACTGCAAAGTCCATATGTGTGTCTTTCTTTATGAAAAAGCCTAATTTTTGAAAATTTCCCCTTTTTTTGAGTTGGGGTCTCACTCTGTCACCTAGACTGAAGGGCAGTGGCATGATCATGGCTCACTGCAGTCTCATACTTTTGGACTCAAGTGATTATCCCTCCTAAACTCCTGAGTAACTGGGACTACAATTAGCCACTACTCTTGGCTGGTTTTATTTTTTGTAGAGTTGTGGTTTTGCTATGTTGCTCAGGCTGGTCTTGAACTCCTGGGCTCATGCAATCCTCTTGCCTTGGCCTCCCAAAGTGTTGAAATTGCGGGTGTGAGCCTTCCTACCCAGCTATAATTTATTTCTCTTCCTTTTTTTCTTCAGAGACAAGTATGTAGCTATATTTTTCTGAGACTGCTAAATTTTTTTTCTTCTTTTTTTTTGAGTCGGAGTCTCATTCTGTTGCCCAGGCTGGAGTGCAGTGGCACACTCATGGCCACCACAGCCTCAACCTACTAGGTTCAGATCAGCCTTCCACCTCACCCTTCCAGGTAGCTGGAACTACAGGCACATGCCACCACGTCCAGCTAATTTTTTTGATTTACTGGAAAGATGAGGTCTCACCAAGTTGTCCAGGCTGGTCTTGAACCCATGGACTCAGGCAGTCCTCTCACCTCACCATCCGAAAGTGCTGGGATTATAGGTGTGAGCCACTGCGCCTGGCCTTTTTTTGTTTTAAGTAGGATTCCACAAGACAAGACATGCAGCCTTTGAATATCTGAATTAGAACTATGATGGATAATAAACTCATGTCTATTCTTTAAAGTTTCAAAATATTTTCTACTATATTCTAATGCATTTGAAATTTATAAAATCTATAATTGTCTCTTACATACTCTGAATCTCCATGTTTACTATTGTATAAAATTTAACAGTTAAAGTAATTTTATTTAATGGCTAAATTATGACCTCACATAAATTTTGAGAACAAGATTAATGAACAAAATGGCAGAATTTAGTTAGTTTTTTAAAAAAACGTTTTATTAGTTTTTTTGTGTTTTTTTTTTAGAGACAGGGTTTCATACTGTTGTCTAGGTTGGAGTACAATGGCACAATCATAGCTCACTGCAACCATGAACTCCTGGGCTGAAGCCATCCTCCCACCTCAGGCTCCCAATCTGGAACTACGGGCACGTGCTACTACACCTGGATAATTTTCTGGTTTTTGTGAAGATGGGGTCTTGCTATTTTGCCCCAGGAGTTGTCTCGAACTCCTGGCCTCTATCTTCCCATCTCAGCCTCCCAAAGCACTAGGATTGCAGACGTGAGCCATTGCTTCCAGCCAAAAAACAATCTTAGTTCATAGTATTTTTCTTAAGGTATGGAACATAATGATGGGGCTTAAAATTGATGGTATCCTGGGTTACATGAAAAATAATGAAGGCAAGTTACCTTCAGAGGAGACTCTGGAGGGGAAATATGAGGGGAACCCCCCCCAAAAAAACAGAATTTATTTATTTATCTATGAGTTGGAGTTTCACTCTGTCACCCAGGCTGGGGTACAGTGGCACACTCATGGCCATCACAACCTCAACTAGGCTCAGGCGATCCTTCTACCACAGCTTTTTGAGTAGCTGGAACTATAAGTGCGTACCATCACACCTGGCTAATTTTTTTGATGTATTGTAGAGACGAGGTCTTGCAAAGTTGCCCACGCTGGTCTTGAACAATTCTCTGGCCTCCCAAAGTGCTGGGATTACAGGTGTGAGCCACCATGCCTGACTCAGAATTAATTTATAAAAAATTGTGGGGTTTTTTTTTTTTTTTTTTGAGTTGGAGTCTCACTCTGTTGCCCAGGCGGGAGTGCAGTGGCACACTCACGGCCACTACAGCCTTGACCTGCTGGGTTCAGGTGGTCCTTCTACCTCAGCCTTCCAAGTAGTTGGAATTACAGGCATGTACCACCACACCCAGCTAATTTTTTGATTTATTGTAGGGATGAGGTCTCACCAAGTTGTCCAGGCTGGTCTCGAATCCGTGGGCTCAAATCCGCTCACCTTGGCCTCCCAGAGTGCTGAGATTATAGATATGAGCCACCATGCTGGGCAAAATTGTGTATTCTTACATGTTTAAACTTTAGTCACCTTCAAAGCACTCTCTGTTTGATGTAGTACACCTATCGAGATGCTTTTCTCACTGTTCAACATGGGCTTTGAACTCAACTTTGATACATTTTAGTGCTTGTGCCGTTTTTTTGTTTTGTTTTTTCTTTCCATGTCTTCCACATTAGCAAAATGTTTCCCTTTGAGGACTTTTTTCATGGGGAAACAAACCAAAAAAAATTGCTCAGGGCAAGAGTGGGTGAATAGGGAGGGTGGGACACAGGAGTCATGCTGTTTTTGGTCAAAAACTGCTGAACACTCAACTTGGGACGTTTCTTTCACAAATAATCTCTCACGACAACACTAGCTGGATGATTGATGCCAGTGGGTTCTTAGTAGCGAAGGAAGCCTGCCCTCCAAAAGATCATTCCATTTTGTAGGGGGGTTCCCCCTCATATCTACATTTTACCAGCCTGGTAGTAAAGAGATTGTCATACTTAAGGATGTGATTAAATAGTTCTGAACTTCTGTCAGTATTTAAGCGGAGTTTTGAGGACTAGCTAAAAGATATTGAGAGACTTTAGAGTTGTGTTTTTGTGTTGTTGTTGTTTTTTGAGTTGGAGTCTCACTCTGTCACCCAGACTGGAGTGCAGTGGCCACTCCCGGCCACCACAGTCTCGACCTGCTGGACTCCGGCGATCCTTCTGCCTCAGCCTTCCAAGTAGCTGAAACTACAGGCGCGCGTACCATGCCCGGCTCATTTTGATTTTATTGTAGAAGTGAGGTCTGTCCAGGTTGTCCAGGTGGGTCTCGAACCCGTGGGCTCAGGCAATCCACTCACCTCAGCCTCCCAAAGGCGTGGGATTACAAGCTGAGCCTCTGAGCCCGGCTTAGAGTTTTGTTCTTGTGAACTTGAAAACTGTCTATCCATAGTGTGATTTCCTCATTATCCCTATTATTACTAAAAAGGGGCTGTTTATAAAAGTTCATCCTATGTACAGATGGTTTATAGTTACAGAGACACAAATTCTTCAGCAGTCAATCCCTATAGAACGAATATTTTTCTGGGAAAGAGTCTAATAGTTCACATGCCTTTATGTTGATAAAAAATACCTATTTTCTGCGGTTAAATAAAGAGTGAAAGGTACTGAATTAAACTTTTTTCTTTATTGTGTAACTAAAGCTAAATTATAAAGGTTGCTCTTTAGTTTTCCTGACCTTGTTCCTAAGATCTGTCACTTACAGAATATGACTTACCCATATTCTAGATTATTTTGAAAAGGAATACATAGAAGCTGGATGTGGTCGTGCCTACTTATAGTCCCAGCTACTCAGGGGACTGAGGCAGGAGGATCACTTGAGCCTAGGAGTTCAGGTTTATCCTGGGGTCCCTCTCCTAAAAATATATATATAAAAGAATACCCAGAATTGTATTCCAT